ATCTCACCCCAGTTAGGATCAGGAACAAACACAGGGGTTGGGATTGTGGCTCACTGGCAGAGCGCTTGCCTTGAATGTGTGAGGCACTGGGTTCAATCCTCAGCACCACATAAAAATAAATAAATAAAAGTATTGTGTCCATCTACAACTAAATATATATATATGAGAACAAACAAAAACAAACACCAGTAAGATGTGGAGAGAAAGGCACACTCTAACACGCACAGCTGGTGGGAATGTAAGTTGGTGCAGCCACTGTGGAAAACAGTATGGAGGCCCCTCAAAAAACTAAAACTAGAACTTCATGTGATCCAGCTATCCCACTCCCCAGGCAAGGTATATCCTAAGGAAATGAAGTCAGCATACAAAAAAAAACCTGCACGCCCATGATTATTGCAGCATTAATAATCAGATATGCAATCAACCCATGTGCCCATCAAAAGCCGAATGGATAAATATGGCACATGGACACACTGGAGTGCTGTGCTGTGCAGCCATAGAGAAAGAAGAAATCTTTTCATTTGCAGCAAAATGGATGGAACTGGAGAGCATCATGTTAAACATGATGAGCCCGACACACAGACACAAGTACAGCATGCTCCCGTTCGTATATGGAAACTAGAAAAAAAATTTTTTTTAATATTTGTAAAGACTGCCTGAAATCCTAAGAGGATTACTGGGGTCTGAGAAGAGTGCTGATTAGGGGAGAGAGAAGATGAGGTCAAAAGGGTGGATGGGCTTAATTGATACCCTATGTGTGCATGAAAATATCACAGCAGATCCCATTAATTGGTACAACTAATATGTATTCAATGTAATAGGATATAAAGTAAGTTTACTACATTAAAAATAGAAATAGACAAACTACAACTAAATCAAATTCCAGGTGCTGCTTTGAAATGGTACAGACCAGGAAGGGTGTAAGCCCCGACGCTGTGTGAGCACGTGCACGGTCCTGACCCCAGCCCAGATCAGCCACTAGCATTTGCTGAATAAATGAAGGAGTGAATCACAGTCAGCTTTGCTTCAGAGGCATTTCCTAGATTGTCTCATTCAATCCTCATAAAATCCATTTCACAGACAAATAAACAGAGACTCCAAGAGTAAAGGACATCATAGGGGTGCAGCAGGGCACGCCTGTAATCCCAGTGACTTGGGAGGCTGACACAGGCGGATCCTAAGTCTAAGGCCAGCCTCAGCAACTTTGTGAGGCTCTGTCTCAAAAAATAAAAAGGGTTGGGGATGTAGCTCGGTGGAAAAGCAACCCTGGATTCAATCCTCAATACAAAAGAGTCAGTACACGGGATCAAGGCACTCAGACAACACAGCTGCAGGAATAGCATTCAGATCCGTTCTGTCCTGCATCTACATGGCCGCCTTAGACAGCCCCCGGTTTCAAATGTCTCTCACTATGTCCATTGCAGCAGAGAAAAGGTCTTTTTCCTCTAAGGGCTCGCTTCCTCCTTGAAGTACTCTTGATTGTAGGTGCGGCCCGGCCAGTGTAAATCTCTTGCCCTGTCTGCTGCCCTCAAACCTTTAGTGGGCCTTGTAATTTCACGGGTCCCTCTGGTTCCTGCTATTAATGAGAATCCCACCAGAGGGCGGTATTGACCTATGTTTCTTCAGGCACATTCACTAGAAGCCAAAAAGCAGTGAACGGAACACCAAGATGCCCTGTGGCTAATGCTTCAGCTAGACTTCCACGAAGCCCACCCTTAGGGCAGAGATACCACCCTAAGGCCACGATCAAAGCTTCCCAAGACAGGGCTCTTATGAATGCTACCACACAGGACAGGAAGCCCAGATAGGAGTCCATTGCTGTGCACAGAGAACTCTATAGGCATGGGTAGATGGCTCTTTCTTGTCCCCATTTTACAGATGAGGAAACAGAGAGTTTAGTCACTAATCCTCTGATTCCCCATCCCAACCTATTTCTATCCTGCCAAGCTCCTAAGAACCTGGGAATGTAGAAGCTATTTGTGTTTCGTGTGTTGAGAGGAGAAAGAGCCTGTGAACTGTACCAAAGGTCTATCAGGAGGGAGGGGAGCAAGGGCCCGGAGCATGGGGCTGCTGTGGCCCACCAGCATGTCCCTTCCCTGGGGGCTGCTGCATCCCTAATGAGAGCTTGTTTTTACTAAGCATGTACTATGTGCCCGGCATTGTCTCCTAGGTGATGCTCGGAAGCACTGAGGAAACTGAGGCCACTGGTTGCAATAAAGTTGTCAAGTGCATAGGAGCCCGGGGGCCTGGCCTCTGCTGCCTCCTGCGTGATCTGCAGCCAGGTCAGTGGCATCTGCTTTCTGGGTCTCTTGATTACTTAAGAACTAAGAAAGTCAAAGTCCTTGAAAACCCAAGCAGAGGCACCCCTTCCCCAGGGATACCATGAGATCAGGCCTCTCAAAGAGCAGGATTCTCCACCCCCAAGGTCAAAGTCAGCGGAGATGGGCCTGGTTGGCTGGTCTAGGTGGGGCCTGTCCATCCCCGCTCTGCAGATCTCAAGCCAGACGGGCTTCTGGACCCAGCCCTGCCAGCAGCTGACTGCAGGGCACACACACTGAGTGTCAGAAAG